TGGGTGTCTGTAGGAACTGCCTGGTGCCAGCCCCACCTCCCTCTGTTGACACAGACTTTGGGCGCATGCCCAATGTTTACTTCCCTAGAGCCCTGCCCACTTCCCTGCTGGGCAGTTGGGGATGGCAGTCTCCCCACGCAGTGGGGCAATGGCTTGCTCACCAGACATGTCTCCTGTGAATACTCATCACCTCTCTACTTCCCAAGCCCTGCCTTCTCTAGGGCCCCTCTAGTTCCATCTCTGATTCTGTCTCCACACCAGGACAACCCAGGGCTCTTTCCTGGTTTGGGGCAGAAGCCCCATATCGAGACCCTGTTCTCAAGCCAACTGGTCCTCCTTGGACCTCTGGCCTGGATGCCTGAACTCTTATTTTGGCGGCTGGGGGTAGGAATCCAGAGCCCTTTGGCTCCTTCTGGAAGAAAGAGGCAGATAGGACCTCAGAAGCCACTGCCCTCCTCCAGAGTCCCTGAACATGCATGTGACCTCCATGGAGCTGTCCACAGAGAGGGGGCCACACCCAGGCTCAGGTAGAGGGAGAGGAATCCCCGACCCTGCGTTCTCTCATGCAGGGGCAGTGTGCATTGGCTGTCCCGTGTGGTGACTGGCTGGGTGTTGTGTGGGTATGTGAAGGACTATGGTGGGTGGGAGCTGTAGGAAGGTAGGAAGAAATGTGTGCACTCCACTAAGGAGTCCCCCAAATGAGGGCCCTTCCGAGGGCAGTGCCAGCTGCTGGTCAGGATGGGGAGGGATGAAACCTCCAAGCCTGAGCACTTCACCCCGCCGGACCTTCACTCCAGGACTGTCCCAGGGGAAGCCGATGGACAACCACTTTGCACCTGCTCCTCCAGAGATGCAACCCCATGGAGCCTCAGGCTCTGGAACCTCCTTTTCCCGCAGCAACATGCTGGGGCGCCATCCTCACCCCTCACGGCTTCCTGGAGGGGTATCCCCCCTCATCCCTGTCGTCAGAAAGACTGTCCATCTGGATGCCTTTCCCAAAAGCCATGTCCCACAGACCTCCAGCAGACTGGGCCTTAGAGCCAGGACTTTAAATGTGCCTCAGCAGGACACTGGCATTGCCCCAGGGGCTGTCCTGAGCCCTCTGCCTGCCAACAGCCTTGTGCCCAGAAAGCTGAGCTCCATCTCCCTAACAATCCATCACAAGAGCCAGGCAAGGTCCCTGAACCCCCCACTTTCCCACTGGGAAGAGTTGCACACCCTGGGCAGGGAGGCTGCCACTCATGGAGGAGGGAGGCTGTCTGCTCAAAGCTCAGCACCCATGACTATAGTGCCAGAAGGCAGAGTCCACTCTGAGGGTCCAGGGAACCCAGGTCTGCTCAAACCCAGCAGGATGCCCACAGTGGAGAAGCCCCTTATGAGTTCGTACCTGGCCTTACCTTTCCAATCTCGGCTAACCCAGAGTTCATCAAGTTTTGCGGGGCCAGGGCTGGTGGGCCAAGGGCACATCAGAGCCTCTGCAGGAAGAGGTAAGTCCCGGTCCAGGGGTATTCCCAGACCCCGGCTACTCCAAAGGGCCACCCCTGCTATGAATTTGGCTGTTGTGGGCACAACAAGGCCAGACACAGCCAGACATTTAGCCACAATGGCCACCAACAGATCTAGCTTGGCTACTACTTTGGCTACAACAAACACATCCAGATGGGACACAGGCACAGAGTTTCCTGCTCTGGATACCAAGTTGGACATAGCCACAGACTTATCTACCACAGGTACAACCAAGCCAGGCAAGGACATGGATTTGATAACTACAGATCCAGAGAAGCTGGGCAGAGTCATGGTTATAGCAGACAAAGCCAAGCCAGATAAGACTTCAGGGGACCCAGCCATGGTTTTGACGATACCAGATCCAGTCAAGCTGGGCACAGCCCGGCCAGACACAACCATGGCTTTGGTTAGAGCAAATAAAGCCAAGCTGGGTACAACTATGGATTCTCCTACTTTGGACACAAGCAGTCTGGGCACAGCCACAGACCCAGCCACTGGTGAGCTGGACATTGCTATCTACCCACTAATGCCTAGCATCGAAGCAGCCCAGGACCACCCCACAATGGAGACTGTCACAGACCAAGCCACCAAGCCTGTCACACTGGATCTGGTCAGAGAATTCAAAGGTAAGTGCAGGTATTCTGTTGGGTGGTGCTGGAGGGGGTGAGAGGTATATGAGTCTGGGATGGGTTGGATATCATGCTTGGATAGGTTAGGAAAGGGAAGGAGGAGTTGGAATTGAAAAAATCAGTGAAAAAGGAACAGGGATCAAGGAGCTGACGACAGGAGGTGTACCTTGACTTGAATACTAGCCTGCCAGAGGTCAGGTTGAGGGAAGCCATCAGAAGGAAGGCTTGCAGGTAACTTGTGGAGGAGCCATGAGGCTGAGCATCAGTGAGCATCTCCATGGTTATTTCTTTGTTCTCCAAAGAGCTAGAACACTCAGGCCATCAATAGCCAAGTCTAGTTTTTTTTAATAAATTATTTTGTTCATTTATTTTTATGTGGTGCTGAGGATTGAACCCAGGGTCTCACACGTGAGAGGCTAGTGCTCTACCGCTGAGCCACAACCTCAGCCCCCCAAGTATAGTTTTAAAAGCAAACCACTGCATGGAAATACAGGCTTGCACTTCAGTAACCCACGATTTGCCACAGTAGCTGTCATTGCAATGCTTTCCTGTATGTGAGATAATGACCTTGCCCAAGATCTTCTAAATCTATTCACACTCTGCCTTTCAGGAAGATATCTGTTGTTAAAAAATTGCTTTGCCTGAGAGTCTCTTTCTTGGCACCCCTACCCTCAGTCCTTTAGTCTTGAAAGATAAGCTGGAGATCATGCTAGGTTCTCATGCACGCTAGCTATATCCCCAGCCCCACTGGAGACGTGTGGAAGTCAACACAAGGGCTGGAAGTTCCCTCAGAGAGGTTGTGGCATGTTAAAGTCTCACCAAAGTGGATTAGTTGTGGCAGTAGGCTGGTTGGTAGGGTTTTCCTTTCTTTTTTGGTGCTGGGGTTTGAACCTGAGGCCTCCTGCGTGCTAGGCAAGTGCTCATTGCTGAGTACATCTCCCAGTTTATCAGTAAGCTGAATGAAACCCAGACCCTTCGGATTCTACTTCGGACTGTCGCATTCCCTACATTTCAAAGGCTCAAGAGATTCTGGGTCAGGAAAAAGGCTTGAAAACATCCAGTCCAGTTCCTGAATTGGTTCTGTGGCTTGTCAGCCCCCTTCTCATTTCACCCTGCACACTCTTTCTGGGGACCTCCCCAAGTTCTGGTATTTATTCTTCTCTGTGTGACCTCAACTGTCCCCTCATCTTCAGTCCAGATCTCTCTCCTGAAACGCAGACATGGTCAGCCAAAGGCCTGTTCAGCTTCTCTACCAGGACATCTCCTGGGCATGTCCAGAGGCAGCACTTTTCTTGAACGGACTCCGGCCCTCCCTGAGCTCTCTCTCAGCCAAAGACACACCAGCCTTGTAGCCCCTCATGAGAAACCTGGGTGTCCTCCTTTCCTCATCTTTCTTTCTCCTACATCCCATCCAGTCTATTTCCCATCTTATTGATTTACCTTCTCAGTACTAATTAGTTAGCTTTGCATCACTGTGACCAAAATACCTGAAAAGAACAACTTAAGAGGAGAAAAAGTTTCTTGGGGCTCCTGGTTTCGAAGCTTTAGTCCATGGTCAGCCAAGTTCATTGCTCTGGGCCCAAGGAGAAGCAGAACATCATGGTGGAGGGCATAGCACGGGGAAGCTGCTTCGCTCAGGGTGGGAGGGAGAGGGAAGGAGGGAGCGGGCAAGAGGCCACAGAGAAGATGGACCTTTGCAGGGCATCCTCCAGTGACCCTCCTTTTCCAGCCACGCCCCACCTGCCTACAGTTACCACCCTGTCAGTCCGTTTGTACTAGGATGGGCTGATCAGGTTGCAGCTCTCCTAATCATTTCACCTCCTAACATTCCTGCATTAATGTAGGAGCTTTTGGGGCATAACTCATATTCAAACCTGACCATTCCCCTGTCGGTCTCCTCCATCCCTCTGCTACTGTGGGGCCTCTTCTCTGTCCCCCTTCTTGCCACACAGCTGCCACAGGGATTCATGTTTAATGTTCCCCAGTGTCTCATCATTGCCTTCCCTTCAGTTCCTTAGCCTGGTTCCAAGGCTGCAGACTCCTCCAGCCTTAGGTGGACATCCTATCTGCAGTCTCCTCGGCTTCAGCCTAGCCCAGAGCTCTGGGGTCCCGCAGCTCTCACCTCTGTGCTTTCTCACCACTACTGCCCTCTCTGTACAAAATGCCCTTCCATGTTTCTCTACCCCTTCCATTTCCTTTTCCATCTCGGCTTCACCTCCTCCAAGAAGACTTCCACAACCCCCCTCTCCCCTGGGTGCCCGCCTGGGTCCACCCTGTGCAAACTCCTTCCCATTTTGTTTCCTTCACTAGATCTAGAACCTTTCAGGACAAGGACGGTCATCCTCAGCCCCGTTTCCCTAGGAGTCTGGTAATATATTGTCCGTTAATTTTGACCGAATGCATGAAAGATTTTTCTGGTGGGTAAACTGAGGATCAGGGAAGTTTCCGACTAGCCCAAATCATAGGGCTGATCATCCCGGAGCTGGGCCTGGAATCTGGGTCCCTGACTCAGGGTTCTCAGGGCGCCCGCGCCTGGGCAGAACCGCGGTGAGCCAGCGCAATATCCCAACCACCGCGTGACTCACGCGCGCGCACGGTTGCCCGCAGCTGCCACCGGTCCCCTTCGTCCCCCCGCCCCGCCCCAGATTAGAGGGTAAGGGGCCGGGAGCAGTATCGAGCGGGAGGAACCCGGACTGAGCTGCGAGCACCTTCCGCGGCCGGGCACCGGGAGTCCGGGGACACGGCGTCCCGCGCACCTCCCTGGCAGCCCGCAGCCGGCCCGGTGGCCGCTCGCGCGTGCGGGCTCGGGCGCCGCGGGAAGGGGAGGGGCCCTCGGTGGGGCCGGCGGGCGCGCGGGTCACGTGGTGCGGGTGGCAGCGGCGGCGGCGGCGGCATCGGTGCGCGCGGGCAGGGCAGCGCGGCGCCGAGCGAGCCGAGGCGAGGTCCCGGGCGGGCGCGGGGCGCAGGGAGGCGCGGCGGGGCGGCGGGCCAGGCGGGTGGGCCGAGAGCGCGGAGAGGCGAGGCCCGGCTGCAGGGGTCGCTCGGCCCAGGGGAGCCTGCGCCCCGCTCAGCCTTGCATCCCCGCGCCCTGAGCATCTCCCGGAGGAACAGAGACAAAGGAGGATTCATGTCCAAAGGTAGGGCGGCCAGCTGGGCCACCGGCGCCCGCCGGGAGGAGGTGCGCCCCCCCCCCTCCCGAGCGCGGCCAGAGGTGCTACCAGGGGGAGGGTTGCAGCGCCGAGGAGCCCACGCGCGGTGACATATGCATGGACAGACGCACACACTGAGACAGTCTCGGAAAAAAGCACAAAGAACGCGGAGACCCACGCACGCAAGCAGGGACCCGTATTCTCAACAAAAACCCCACGCTGGAGCACGCCAAGACACGCACACACATGTACACCATGCACAGGTACCAGGGCCACCTCCAGCCTATAAGAGACCTGTGCGCTGACACTTCAGTCCCCTTCCCCCAATTCAGATAGGCACAGCTGAGACAGGCACCAGCTGGTGGTCTCCAGGGAAACTCGTTGGCCTTCTGAGTTCTGGGAGGCGACGGGGTGTCCCAGAGGCCCTTTGCTTCTGCGAATGGGAAGGATTAAGGCATCTGTTGTGATTCCCAACTCCCAAGGCTGGAGCCAATGGACTGGACTTGCCCCTGCAGGTGGAGGTGGGGTCTTGAAGACTGCTGGGGACTAGGGAAGACCCCCAGCTTGGGAGGGAAAAGGGGGCATCTCTAAGTCAGGGAGGCAGGTGCTATTCTGGAAAGGTCCCCTCCTCCTACTGTCACCTTCCCAACAGAGGGGTGGGGTCCCTGGGCCAGACAAAGACAAAGCCAATCATTTTCCTGTACAAGAAAGCACCAGCATGTGTGCGTGCCATGGAGATGGAGGCGCTGCTCTATGGGGCAGAGCTGAGTCAGGTGGAGAGTGCCTCTCCCTGGAGCACTGATGGGGCAGGTGGCTCCTAGCAGGAGGTGCTTCAGATCGATCCCCTCCTCTCCAGGGCCCCTGGAAGAGCTGGGATCTTAGGAGGGGTCCAAAGAACCATCTAGCCAGGATGACATACTTGAGCTCCATCCTCTTATGACCCCCATCCTGAGCTCTTCCCCACCCTGGAGGGTCTTCCTTCAATTTCTGTTACAGGGGAGGGTGGAGATATCAGGGATTGAACCCAGAGGTGCTTAACCACTGAGCAACATCCCCAGCCCTTTTTATATTTTATTAGAGACAGGGTCCCACTGAATTGCTTAGGGCCTCTCTATTGCTGAGTCTGGGTTTGAACTCGAGGTCTTCCAACCTCAACCTCCCAAGCCGCTGGGATTATGTGCGTGAGCCAGTGCGCTGGGCAAGGAGATCTCTCTTAACAGGTCTGCCCTCCTTGACTGTGGCTGAGTGTCAGCTGCTCTGCTCAGGGGCAGCATCTGAGGGGGGAGAAAGGTGATGGTCCTGAAGTGACACCTGCTTTGCCCTGGGGTTTCCATTCATTCATGGGTGCTCACTGTGGAATGCTAAGTACATTAGGCACCAAGATCAATAAGACACAGCCCTTGCCCTGTCCTGAAGAAGTGTGGAAGCCAGCATATATTTGGTGCCAGTGAACTTATGTTCAGGATTTTGTTTTTGCTTTTATTTATTTGTCTATGATTTCGTATAGCCTTCACAGTAACCTGGAAAGGCATGTACTGTCCCTGCTTTTCGGAGGAGAAAACTGAGGCTTACAGAAGTCACCTTGCTAGAATTTAAGCCTGGGTCAGCTGCCCATGTGAAGCTGGCCTGGTACGACCAGGAGAGCTATGGAGCAGAGGATGGAGCTACAGAATCCAACTCCAGAGCAACATTTATTTGGTGCCCTAGAGGTCTTGGTGGCTTTGTTAGGCACCCTCACCAGACAAGTGGGCCCCTGGGGGCAATGACCTTGCCTGGTGTACTTAAGTGTCCTTGGCATTGAGTGTAGGGCTTGGCTGAAGTAGGCCTGCAGTTGACAGCATATGAAATGGCCTGGTTGGGGTTGGAATGATGGAATGAATGAGTGTCATGTGTGAACAGATGAGGGACAGCACAGAAGAGGGACACCCACATCAGACAGGAAAATAGAAAGTAGGAGTTAGCCAGGAGTTGGAGAGGGTACAGGGTCTTCCATCAAAGTTTGTGGCACAGTGACCTGTAGCACATATTTAGGACTTGTAGCTGATCAGTGGGTGCTTATAGTCTAGGACTGGCATGTGGTCAGGAGGAGGCTGACTTGCCAGTAGGTGCTCTGGATGGGGCACAGTGGGTGCTAATACGTCCTCACTAGAGGAGTAAAATATGAGACCTGCAGCAGGCCTGCTGTACCCCTGGAAGTAATTTGGGAATCTGGTAGCCCAGTCTCTCATAAGGGTCTGTCTTTTGGGAATGCTTTCTTAGGATGACAAGCCAGGGCTGAACAGGCCATGAGGACAAATGCTTTACAGGCATCCTTACCCCTCCCATGAATAAGTCTAAGGCTCACCTACCAGGTCTGTAATTGGAGTAAAACCTCTGGTCCCTGCCCCACCTTACCACCAATTGGGTCTCACAATACAGACTGTAGAGGCCAAATGGGCTCAGCTGATGCACAGGAGGGAAATGGGAAGGGCCAGCCTGTGTGAGCAGCTGAGCAGGAGAAATGGGGCATTGGCCCCCCATGCAGGTGTGCTGTGTTCAGGGCATGAGCCACGTGGGTGAGCAGAGGAGCAGGGCCAGGCTGCTTGGAGTCAGCTGCTGCAGGGCTGAGCCAATCTTGCTGCCGTCTGGAGCAGCCTGGCTGGCGTACCTTCCTGGGAAGCAAGAAGGAGCTTCGCCAAGCCCTGGGGAGGTCCTAAGGCTTTGTCAGATCTTGCTGTGTTTGGGAGTGACAGGAGAAAGTGGGGAGTGACAATTTCCTGTGGGGAGAGAGGGTCTTGCCAGTACCAGTGAAAGGACCAGGTAGGGGGTGGGTACAAGAGCAGACTCCTGACTGGGCTTGAGGGGTAGGGAGGGAGGCATTCCTGTCCCCTCTCCCTCCTGCCCATCTGCTGCTCCAGCAGGCCTTCCTGTAAGGCTGAGACTGCAGGGTGGTGATTTTGAACCACAGAATTCTAGAATGGCAAAGCTGGGAAGGCATCCGCCAGAGAGCAGGGAGTCTAGTAACTGTGCTCGTGAAATTAGCATCTGGGGCACCTTCTTTCACAAGTGATTTCACAGGCACTGCTTCATCTCTCCTCCAAGTAAGCTGGTGACCTTGAAAGGGGCAGGGGAAAGTGGGTCTGGGACTTTGAGGCACCTGCTCAGTGCTTCTGAGCATCACATCTCATGCAATGCTCATCACAGCCCTAGTGATGATCTTGCTGTTCTACAGAGGAAGAAGCAGACTCAGGGGTCTGCTCAGGTCCACAAAGCTGACCAGTAGCAAAGCCAGTGTCTTTCTGCTTCACTCACACATCCATTTTATGGATGGGGAAATGGAGTTGCTCTGTTCTAGAACCTACCCTGGTGGACAGTGGCCTGATGGGGCACTCACAGATTTCTGCTGTGTGTGAACATACTCAGGGTCTGCCAGACCCAGGGGGAAGGGCTGTTTCCTCAGCCTCACATTTCTCCCATGCTATGTTATCTTAGGCAAATGACGGATTTCATCAGAGTATCGTCCCCTGCTCACCGGACCCACTGACTCTAAACTATAGCTAGGAGGGTGTCTGGGGCTCCTACAGATACCTCTACTTTGCAGCTTATGGAACAGAGGGGACATTGAGGCTGGGAGGTGAAAGAGATGCTCTCTGCAGAGAAAGGTGGCCCTATTTGCTTCTGAAGCATGAAATAGTTGAGGTCAGTGACAGTCAATAGATGTGGGCTGCAGGATTCTCGAGTCTTTGTCCTCTATTTGTCAAGACAGGACTTGGGTCTGGAAAACCCCAGGCACTTCTTAGGTCAGTGGTTCTCTACTGGGGCAATGCCCTCCAAGGGGACATTTGGTACTGTTTAGAGACATTTTTGATTGTCACAAATGGTGGGCTACTGGCATTGAGCAGAGACCAGGGATACCACTAGGCATCCTACAGGGCGCAGGCCAGCCCCCACAATAAAATATTATCCAAATGTCAGGAGTACCAAGGTGGAGAAGCCCTGGGTTTAGATGCACAGATGTGCTTTGGTGCTGTGGAGTGTGTTTGAAAGTGATCAGCAGCTGGAGAACCCAGTGCTGGTGCAGGTTTTCCACGTGACCTGGCCTGTGTTCTTCAGCAAGTCCTTCCCTCTCTGGGCCTGACTCTTCATCTATGCATTGAGGGGTTCAGGCTAGGTAATATTAAGGTCCCTTCTAGTCCCACTCCACACTACTCCATATGAAGAGAAAAATACTGTGGCTTCCATGTGACCTCTACTTTCCTCCCACCCACCCCACCTGCCCCTCCCACCTTGGCTTTGCAGGGCTCCCAGAGACCAGGACGGACACAGCCATGTCAGAGCTGGTGCCTGAGCCCAGGCCTAAGCCGGCAGTGCCCATGAAGCCCGTCAGCATCAACTCCAACCTGCTGGGCTACATTGGCATAGACACCATCATTGAGCAGATGCGCAAGAAGACCATGAAGACTGGTTTTGACTTCAACATCATGGTTGTTGGTATGAAGCCATGGGGTCATTGGAGGGCCTGGCAGCAGGTAGCACTAAGGATCCTATTTCTCTCCCCAGAATGGCCTCAGCCCTGGCTTCTCTAGGAAGAACTCTCTCTAGGAGTGAGAATATTGCCATGCTGACCACAAAGGCCTGGGTACCTTCTTCCATTAGGGATGGCAGCTTGGGTGGGTGGCCAGCCTGTTCTGCCTTCAAGTGGGTTCAGACAAGTAGCCTCTCCACCACTCCAAGCTGCTTTCAGGTTTGTGGCAGGGGAGAATCATTAGTGCCCTTCCCCACCTCCAAGAGCTGGTGGGAGGATTGGTGAAAGGTGGTCTTATTTCGAGTCTTTCATAGAGCTTTAAAATTGAAAGGGAATTTGCAGAGATTTGGTCACTAAATAGCATCATTGGGTCACTCAGTGCTGAAACAGGGAACTAGGCATTTTCTTTCTTCCCTTTTCCTTCCTTATCCCCAGTATAATCAATCATGGAGTCCTGTCCCTTTTCCATGGTCAATATTTCCAAGTCTGGGCTTGGGCTGTGGCTCAGTGGTAGAGCGCTTGTCTAGTAGCATGTGTGAGGCACTGGGTTTAATCCTCAGCACCACATAAAAAGAAATAAATAAAATAAAGGCACTGTGTCCATCTATAACTAAAATATGTGTGAGTATATATCTATCTATCTATCTATCTATATATATGTCTATATATATATATATGTCTATATATATATATTTATTTATAATCTGTATTAAGTATCTATCCCAAGTCTGCCCACTTCTGTTCATCCCCCACTATTGCCTTAGTCAAGCTAGGTCTGCCACCTGGATTGCCATGGCCACTTGTACTGCTCAAAGTGCTGACCTTCAGGTTTGTGCTTAAGAACTTGGCCCAGGGTGAAACATCAAACAGGGACAGAGTTGATTTACCTTGTAGCACAAAACTCTTATCTCAAGAACCAGTAACAAATGATTTGTGGACCCGGGAAGCCAGACCATAGGCCACACTTGGAGTGACACCAGTCCTTCTGGTTCTGTCTCTCCCTCTAATTCATCATCAAGTTACCCATGCTACTTACATCCCATTACTGTCCCTCTTTTAACCTCAAGACTCCTATTCTGGCCTGCTGAAACTCAAGACCACTATTCTACTCCTGCTCTAACTCATCTCTTACCACATCCCACCCAGCATTCTTACTCCTCGCTCTTGCGGAACAATTCTCCTCGACTTGCCACACTCATTTCTACCTCTGAGCCTTTGCATGTGCCATTCGCTCCGTCTAGAACTCCCTTCCCGCTTCTCACGGCTCATTCAAAGTCGCCTTTCAGGTTTCAGCTTCATTGTTGCTTACTCCTAGAAGTCTGTCTTCCTTAATCCCAGAAAGACTGGATTGTATTCCCTTTATAATGCTGTTATAACACCTGGTGGTTCTCTCTTTCATAGTGCTTATCATATTGTAACTGTGTGCTTATGTTTTGGTCCCTTGCAACAAAGGGCTCTTTGAGAATTGGGATGATGTCTGAACCAGGTCTAAGTGGGATTGTGAAAGCCATCTGCCCTCCCCTGCTGGGCCTCCAATTCTAGGACAACACTTAAGAATACTTAATGAATGCTAGGTGCTGTGGTGGTCCATGCCTGCAATCTCAGCAACTCGGGAGGCTGAGGCAGATGGATTGCAAGTTTGAGGCCAGTTTGGACAACTTAGTGAGAACCTGTCTCAATATGATAAAATAGGTTGGAGGTGCAGCTTGGTGGTAGAGCACCCTTGAGTTCAATCCCCAGCACAGAAACAAACAGATAAGCAAACAAACCCCCAAACAACAAAAAGAGAAAAAATAACAACAACAAAAAAATTCATCTGTGTAGTACTACCTAAAAAGAAAAGGAAGAAAAAGAAAAAAGAAAGACTCCAATATTGAATGAACAAATGATCCTAGAAAATATCCCAGACCAAGAATAGCAAATGCAGGTTGTGTATCCCTTATCTGAAATATTTAGAACCAGTTATGTTCTAATTTGGGACTTTAAAGAAATTCTTAGATTAATTTCGTTCATTTTACCAGTTGAATGTCTCTAATTTGAAAATCTAAAATCTGAAATGCTCCAAAAATCTAAAACTTTTTGAGCATCATGTCAGCACTCAAAAAGTTATAAATCTTGCAGCATTTGGACTTCTGATTTTCAGTTTGAGATGTCCACCCTGTACAAGACATGTGGGACACTCCTCCCCCATGGCAGACCTTGCTGGTCACTCAGGGTCATGTCCAGTACTGAGCCCAGCTGTAGCCATTTTAACATAATGGTCTAAGGGGCTTCTGCCCCCTGACCAGCTGGAATGAGAGAAGGCCCCTTACTTGCCATCATTGGTCTCATGCAGTTCCCTCCCTCCTCATCTTATCAGTAAATAAATTAAGACCCCGCAGTGCTGTGGGGGCAAACCTGACTCCAAAGGTACTCAGGGAAAACAGCACAGGTGGGTCTAAACCCTAGGGGCTCTTGCCTCCCATTCTGGTCTTTTTACTCCAGACCAGAACTTCTTGGACTTTAGTGTCCATATGATTCTTCTGGAAGCCCAGCTAAGCTGCAGGTTCTGAGTCATGGATCTGTGGCGGGGCGCTGATGCTGCTCTTCAGTTGCAAGCCTCCCTGGTGTGATTCTCATGCATGTCAGAGTTGGGAAGCACTGCTCAGACCCATGGTTCCCAAAAGTGTTTTAGTGATAGAACTTCTTGGAGGACACACTGTGGCAAGACTGCATGGGGAATACAGGTGCAGAGAGAGCCAAAGTGAAGGAGCTGGAGGTGGACACTGAGACCCTGCCTGCCCACTTCCCCTTCTCTTGTGGTCCCCACTCTGGCATGGATCTCCAACAGGACTTTTTTGTTGTTGTTGTACTGGGATTGAACCCAGGGCCTTAGTACAATTTAAAAACCACTACGCTAGAATAAAGAGTGGATATGGAGCCACGAGGTTTTTGGGTTCAAGTCCCTGGTCTTGCATTTACTAGTTAAGTTGCCTTACACACATTGTGTGTCAGAAGAGGATTAATCTCTCTAGGGCCTTCTCTACTGGGGATAAAGATAGCTCTGCTGTGCGACTTACAGGCCTGACAAAAAGACAGATTTTGCTAACAGATGTGAAAGTGCTTAGGCACTATGAGGCGGCATCAGAAATGCAAAGTAATTCTGCTTTTACTTTTAGTATATTAAAGACAGAAAGCTTGAGTCAAGCAATAGAGCAAACCAAAACAAAACCCCACCACATTAGACAGATGCAGATGCTGTTCCCTCTCCCAGTGGTTCTGGGGCCCCAGGAAAGAGAGACTATACGATCCAGTGGCGAATCCCAAGGCCCTCTCCAGTAAGCAGGATGGCATTCCCATCTGCCTGCTGTCCCCACTCAGCCCCTCCATCCTTTGGTGAGTGGCCTGGATCATAGCCTTGGAATTCTGGAAGCTGGGAGAACTGAGAGCTCAGGAGGTGGACGTGGCCTCTCCCTACCTTGTCTTCCTCCTCCTGCCTTGCTGCAGGCCAGAGTGGACTGGGCAAGTCAACGCTGGTCAACACGCTGTTCAAATCCCAGGTGAGCCGCAAGGCTTCCAGCTGGAATCGGGAGGAGAAGATCCCCAAGACGGTGGAGATCAAAGCTATTGGGCATGGTGAGGACCAGGCGGGGACCCCTCTGGGCTTTGTTCAGAGGTGGATGATGGGGGAAGGAATGAGGCATATTGGGGAATGAAACCTCATGATGGAGCAGAATTAAGCACTAAACTCCACAAAGCCAACCCCTTAGACTGCTAGTCCAGGGAAGGGAGAGAGGGCCTGGGATGGAAAGAAGGGGGCCTTGAGCTGGGTGGTGAAGCACAGGTGGGATTTAGACATAGAAGTAGGAAGAAACGGGGAGGGGGAGACCCTAAACTTACCTTTTCCAATAACTAGTCCTGAAGAAAAGAGGCCTGGCTCATAGGCTGCGGGGCACTGGGGGTCAGCTATAGGACTGACTTCTCTGATGCCTTTCTATTCATCCCTCAGTAATAGAGGAAGGTGGTGTCAAAATGAAGCTGACTGTCATCGACACCCCGGGCTTTGGAGACCAAATCAACAATGAAAACTGGTATATGTCTGCCTCTGAGATTTCTGCCCTAAGTCCTCTGCTGGGAAGACATGAACATGGTGCAGATTCATTCATGCTGAGAACCATCTGCATCCTCCATGTTCTGCAGGTTCCTAGAGTCCAGGCAGAGGCTAGGTTCCCTGGGGAGTTCTGTCCTTGCCAATCATCCTTGGAAAGCCATTTGAGGGGGTGGGCAGATGGAGAATAGGCAGATATCCTAGACCCACCAGGGGAGGTAGGACACAGGGTAAGTGTGAGGGGTTGTGATCTGACTGTGTCAAGATGTGTTCCTGGATCCTGTCCTTCTGCTACATTCCATTTATTTATTATTTTTTGGGGGGTGCTGGGGATTGAACTCAGGGGCACTTGACCACTGAGCCACATCCCCAGCCCTATTTTGTATTTTATTTAGATACAGGGTCTCACTGAGTTGCTTAGGGCCTTGCTGTTGCTGAGGCTGGCTTTGAACTTTTGATCCTCCTGCCTTAGCCTCCCAAGCCACTAGGATTACAGGTGTGTGCCACTGCGCCTGGCTACATTCCATCAACTTTTTCTCTCCTCTCAGCTGGGAGCCCATTGAGAAGTACATCAATGAACAGTATGAGAAGTTCCTGAAGGAGGAGGTGAACATCGCCAGGAAGAAGCGCATCCCTGACACTCGCGTCCACTGCTGCCTCTACTTCATCTCCCCCACTGGACACTCGTATGTACCACCCCCACCTCTACTGCTAGGCCTGACTCTGGTTTGTATCAGCCTGTCCTGAATTGGGTAATCAATACCTGGATACCAGCTAAGGGCCATTTCAGGGGCCCAGAGGGACTTGAATACAGTCATGACCTTGGGATTTCCCAGAATTTCCATAAGAAAGTCTCACTTTCTTACCAGGAAGGTAAAACTGACCATCATCTGCCTCCATACTGCCCACTGGTATCCCAGCACAGCATGACTGTACCAGAGAAGTTGCTATATGTGAGCAGAAGGCATCTCATTAGTTCAAAAATTCTTGCTTTGGATAAAGCTTGGGGTCTAGGGGAAACAAAAGGGGTGAAATAGGGAGAGGCAGGGCTATTAGATTGGGGCTGATATTTTGGTAGGATGTGGGACCTAGCCAGAGGCATCTGAAAGGTGGCCAGCTGGGAGCTAGGAGTCTAGAGAAGGCTGAGCACGCAGAACGTGCTGGGAACTCAGATTGTGAGTTGCAGGTGGGCCCCAGATGGTCAGGTGTGGGAATAGGCTGAGGTCAGAGATCCTATTGGTATCTCAAGCAGCCTTCCTATGTGACCAGCGTGTGTCTCATAACTCATTACGAGTCCTGGGGCAGAGTTCAGTTCTTGAGAACAGCACCAGCAAGTAGGCCCCAGTGTTTGAAGAAAACATACTCAGCAGAGTTCAGCGATGGGGAAGGAGGGATATGAAACAAGAACCTTGGGCCGGGCAGGACCTCAGTAAAGGTTGACTTTATCCCTCCCTAGACCTTGATCCGCGGTCAGAGGGAACCATCTGAAAACCTGACTTAATGAGTACCCCAGGTTGCAAACTAAAGCCAGGTTGGGGCCCCAGAGCCTCAGGTTGGGGAGGAGCAGGCCTTCAGACTAGGGGAGGGACAAAGCCCCCAACTGGGCCCTGCAGAACTAACTTTGGGACCTGGGAGGAGGCCCATACATAAGAGCAGTCCCACAGGCAGAATAAGACACACAAGTAACGGTGACACAAGGACACATGGATGGGGACAACCATCCACAGATGTTTCCAGGAGAAAGAAATCCTTAGGTCAGAAAAGGTGTCAGGAGTGTGTGGGGACAACCTAAGGAGAGGCAGAATTTGCATGGATACAAGGAAGAAAGGTGGGGGAGGGACTGCGTGCAGGTGGAAGAATTGGGGCCAGTCTGCAGATGGTCAGTGATGGTGTGTCAGAGAGGAGAGGCTGCAGTCTCGTGGCCTCAGCCAGATTCCTAGCCCAGTCCTCTCTCCCAAGGAGGTGCCCCGAGAGGTAGCAGTGGCTAGGGTAGATGGCAGGTGGTTCTGACACTATCGCCTTCTCTGGGCCACAGCTTGCGACCCCTCGATCTCGAGTTCATGAAACACCTCAGCAAGGTGGTGAACATCATCCCTGTCATTGCTAAGGCTGACACTATGACCCTGGAGGAGAAGTCTGAATTCAAGCAGAGGGTAAGAAGGCCCCCTTTCTCCTTTTCCTGCCTCCAACACTTCCTTGCTCTCCTCCAGGTCCAAGCCATCTCCTAGCTCTCATCCTCTCCGCCCCCCACCAGTCCTCCCTCAGCTCCTCCCCCAGCACCTAATGAACCATTCAGAAGGCTGGGGCTGGCGGTTCTGGGGACCAAAGGCAAGAAGCCAGCGCTGCTCCTGCTGCCTTCCACTCCACAGCTGGCTGAGGAGACCACTGGATACACAAGTGTCTGCGAACACAAAATCTTACTCCTGAGAAGTCAGGTTACTTGAAGGACTAGACTAATCAGTCAACTGCCTGCTAGTCCTCAGTGACATCATCTATACACCCCGCCTACAACTGGCTGGATGCCCTGGAGGGCAGAGGAGGGTGTGTACAAGCCAGTGCAAAGATAGTTGCTGCTTTTAAGAGAATTATAATCAAACGGAATGCTGAAGAGATCCCGGATGACCTCCTGGAGGAGGGGACTTAAACAGGCCTTGAAAGAAAGCAAACAGGAGCTTGGGGCGGGAGCCTCACCACTCTTCCTTATGGGCAGGAATACAGCATGCAGGCCATGAGCACCGCCCAGTGGCATTTGGACTTAGGTGTGCTATTTGTTCAAATCCTAGACCCTGGGATGAGCACACTGGTGTGCCTGAGACTTCCTCCTATCCGGCTGGGCGGTGATAATTACCGTTATGTAGGATCTTCCTGCTATCCACGGCCTCAGAGTGCAGAGAGGACTGGCATCAAAGGCTGGGTGCATCTCTGACTCCACCACACACACCGTGTATGTGCTCATGGACACACCACACACACACACACACACACATACACACACACACACACACACACACACACACCTCTACCTCACACTCACATGCCCTTTTTTCTATTACAACACTTGACCACCTTACTTCTCCCCACCAGGTTCGAAAGGAGCTTGAAGTAAATGGGATTGAATTCTACCCACAGAAGGAATTCGATGAGGATCTGGAGGATAAGACGGAGAACGACAAAATCAGGGTGGGTGTCCGGGCTCTATTCATCCCACGGATGCTCCTGATGCCCCTGGGACGTATGTCATGTGCCTCTTCTGTCTTTCCACCTTTCCTCCTCTGTCTTTTCTCTATATCCCTGTGCCACCTTGTCTGACCAGAAGTGACATGGGACAAGGAGGACAATGGTCCTGGCCAGGACTATGAACCCACAGAGGGGCTCCCTGCACCCAGAAAGCCAGGGTTCCCTTCCAATCTCAGACCACACAAAAGCACCCTCTTCCCCACAAGTCTGGCAAAGTCCGTGTGTGGTGAGGCGGGACACCAAACAACAGAAACACGGGGAATCTGGGTTCTACTCAGACGCTGCCTGGGTTTCCTCCTCAGTAAAATGCAGAGGCTAAACTAGGTGAGTGGCTTATTGGCTTGTTCACTCCTTAGAAGAATCCCTTTTTTAAAAAATTATTTTTAGTTGTAGATGAACATGATACCCTTATTTTATGTATTTATTTATTTATTTTTATGTGGTACTGAGAATCGAACCTAGTGCCTCACACTTGCTAGATGAGGGCTCTACCACTGACTCTTAGAAAATTAAATCTCAGGACTCCCATATACAAAACCTAAGAGCAAAGCTGCGTTGACACTTAGCCCTGCCTTCCCAGCTGCTTCTAGGATACCTGCTGAAGACCTGAAGGAGACCCCTGGGCATGACATGTTTCAGGAACTGGCTTAGAAACTGTCAGCCTGTGTGATTCCTAGGGTTCTTCTCAATTCCAAATTTCTACAATTCCATAATTCTGCATCAGAATCCTGGAATCTAGTCTGGGTTTTTTCAGATTCTCAACTGAAACCTGAGACACAACCCTCGCTGCTTTGGTTTTGAGTTCCCTCCTCCATCAAGGGTGGGTAATCTAGCAGAAGCCCCTTACCTGATATAGTTGGAACAGATAGTTAATTGAAAAAAAAGAATCAACTTGAATGAGGGAATCACTTTTTTAAAAAGAGGTATATAAATCTTGACTGTTTAAAAATAAATATTTTATGAAATTAAATTAACAAAACATACATTATATTTATCAAACACTTTTCATGTAGATCCAAGGCCTCTTCTCTGAGAATAAGTCCACTCTTTTGAAGTTTTTCTTGAGGTGCTGAGGACTGAACCTCAGCTGAGGTACCTCCAGCCCCCAAAGTCTACTCTTAATGTCAAAGCAGTTTACATTTGTAAAGTCTTTCTGAAACATTTAACTTAATTTTTATAGAAACAACTCTCTACGTGCATATGACTTCAGTCTACACCTATAGTCATGTGCTGCATAACTATGATACAAGTGACAATCATCCCATACATTGATATCACCTAGTGATATAGTCTCTTAGTTTGTGTAAGTACATGCTATGACGACTATACAACACAATCAGCCAGGGACACATTTCTCAGAATCTACCCTGTCATTAAGCAATGCTTGACTAGTTAATTCATCCAATGACAATAATAAGTACACCTCAGGCAAATACATTTGGGAACAAACAACTGGCACTTGGCAGACGTACAACTCACCCGGTGGAGCAGAAGGGGCCTGGTGCCTGAGAGTTCAGCAGACACGGGTATCTGCCAGTAGGTTTCATAGGAGACAGCATGAGGCATCAGTGAGTCTGGCTGACACTTGAGTGGGTGTTGCTAGATTGCAAGGCTGTTCCAAATCAAGCAAAATGTGTTTTAAAGCACTATGAAATGTACAAAGTGCACTCCGGGAAGTGACTTCCTGAGGTTAGCCAGCCATGCAGTATATTCAAGGTTTAACCCAGGACTTCTGCCTCCTAGCTCAGTGCTCTTTTCAAGGGAGAGAGCCTTTCTCTTGCCATCAATAGTATCACCAAATGAGCATCATAAATGTGTGGCTCAAGGGTAGGCAGCCAAGGCCATTTGCTGCCCTGACTTGGACATTCTGGTCATAGGGGGATGACTGTGCACATGTGTCTGGTTTGTGTTTTTGCCCCTGTCCAGCAGGAGAGCATGCCCTTCGCTGTGGTGGGAAGTGACAAGGAGTACCAAGTGAATGGCAAGAGGGTCCTCGGCAGAAAAACTCCCTGGGGGATCATTGAAGGTAATTAAATGCATTTTCTGGGAGAACCGGCTGCTGATCAATTATCCAGTCATTTGTTCAGCCATCTGGGGTCAGGGCTGTGTCCTGAGATAATGTGATATACAACAAATGCCCATCAGATCCTGTCCATAAGGTGTGTACAGTCTAATTGAGAAGATGATGCTCACAGGTAGGAAGCAATGAGATCCATTTAGTACCTGACCAGGGGGCACCAACTTGGTGTGTCAGAGGGGTTCAGAACACAGACTAGCAAGGACTGGAAAAAACAGAGGAAGGTTTCATGTGAAGGAGGATGTGATCTGGCAGAGTACTGAAGGGCGGCCCGGATATTGCCTTTTCCATTTAGTTGTGAATTAATGTGACCTCAGGCAGGTCATGATGATTCAGAAAGTTTGCGAAGAACGGCTTCAGGGGTCTCAGTTGATGTGATAACCCTACAAGGGGAGCAGGGCAGGGGTTCCTGCCTCAGAACGAAAGCTTCTGAGGCACTGCAGTCTCAGACAAGTTAAGTGCCTTGCCTGGCGTCACATAACTTTTTGTGTGTGTGGTTCTGGGGAGCAAACCATAGCCTTGCACATGCCATCACAGAACTTAGTGGTGATTCTTGGATTTCAGATAATGTGATCCCAAACCAAAGCTCAGCCCTTTATTTTGAATTATCTCTTGTTTTCCTGTAACCCACTTTTGGGATTTTTATTTTTTAAATATTTTATTTTTAAAAATTTTGTGGGGGGGAGTGCATGGTAGGCAATTACCCTACCACTGACAGACTACATTATCCAGTCCTTTTAATTTTATTTTAAGACAGGATCTTGCTCATTTTCTCTGGCTGGCCTCAAACTCATGATCCTCCTGCCTCAGCCTCAGGAGTAGCTGGGATTATAGGTGCTTGCTACCATGCCTGACCGAGCATCAACTTTTAAAGATGGCTTGATTGTTCTATGTGTATCACTTTCTTTCAGTTATATTATAAGTTCCAAGGATAGGAATTGTATCTTAGGCCTTGACAAGTTTCTTAGACTCCTTGAGTGTTAGTTTTCTCTTCTGTAAAATGAGAAAAATAACAGTTCTTGTTACTCTACAGAGTCTGGAACAGTATCCTGTCTGTTGTATCCTGATGCTTAATAAATACCTGTTCAATGAAAAAAATCCAGGGAACTGGGTTGGGGATGTGGCTCAGTGGTAGAGTGGCCCTGGTTTGATCTCCAGCACCACACATACACACACACACAAAAAATCCAGGACACTGAAGTAAGCAAAATATAAAACAACCTGTCCTATGCTCTTTTTTTAAAAATATTTTTTAGTTGTCAATGGACCTTTATTTTATTTGTTTAGATGTGGTGCTGAGAATCAAACCCAGTACCTCACACATGCTAGACAAGCGCTCTGCCACTGAGCCACAACCCCAGCCCCCACGCTGTCTTTAAATGCCTCCGTGACCCAAACATAGGTTTACCTCCTGGATGTGGTCATGAAATGACACCTGTTTTCTTTTGTTTTGTTCATAGTGGAAAACCTCAACCACTGTGAGTTTGCCCTGCTTCGAGACTTTGTCATCAGGTAAGACTTTGTCATCAGGTTTTGACCCGGATGTCAGCTTAACTATTTGGTGTCCAGGGCCATCTGTTCAGATTTACTACTTCCTGGGACTCCAGGTGTCTGCTAGAGCTTTCTGTTCCAGTTCCAGCTCCTGCCTCAAAGCAGAAGGGGCTTCAGAAGGGGCTTTCTGGAATGGGTCCCAATCACTGGGTCCAGTTTGTTGACGTGAAGTGTTAACCTCAGAGGTGGGTCATCTCCTCCTCTTGCTGCCCCTAATTTTATCCCCCTTTTTTTCTCACCCTGTGTCCTTCAGGACCCACCTCCAGGACCTCAAGGAAGTGACACACAACATCCACTATGAGACTTACAGGGCCAAGCGGCTCAATGACAATGGAGGCCTCCCTCCGGTGAGCGTGGACACAGAGGAAAGCCACGACAGTAACCCCTGATGACCCCCTTTCTGTGTCGTCACACATACCCACTTCTCCATACACACACATCCCAAGTACCACCTCCAGCCACTTCTTCCTTCAGCTCTGTCCCACAGGCCTGTCTGGTATTTGTGGAACATCTTGTCTACATTGTGTATGTGTATGCGTGTGCGTGTGCATGTGTGTGTATGAGAGAGGAAATGAGTGTGTGTGTGTGTGTGTGTACGCACGTGTGTGCACAGGGACGAGGTATTTTTATTGCCTTCCCTGAAAAGTCCCTTGTAAGTGTGGATCCTCATGAATGTCTTCTTTCCTCATGTCCCAGAACAAAGCTGTGCACCTCACTCCAGAGGTCTGGGAAGGTTAGACACAGATGCTGGGAGCAGGTGACCCACAGGACAGTAAACTCCTTTTTACTTCTGTCCTTGTCCACAAACTGGGGCTGCAGAAATTCTCCAAGGACAGGTGGCTGAGCTAGACTGGGTGGTGGGGGGAGGGAGTTCAGGGCATCTTCCCTGTGAGTTGGGGTGGCCCTGGGTAAGGTGGGGACGTCCTGGGAAAAGGAAAAGGACGTTCACAGGGAGCACAGAACTGTGTCTGAGCTGGGTTCCTGCAGAAAGAACTGGTGCCTGAAAGTGGAGTACACCCTTTGGTCTGTGTCAAGGTCACTGTTCAAAAGCTACCACATCACCATCAAAGACTGCTGCTTTTCCTTGCTTACCTGGCTTTTGTTCCCAGGCTGGTTTCCTGCCTCTGCTTTCTCTCTTTCCCCCTTTCCCTCCCTTCTTCATGTATCTCTTCTCCCTCCCTCTCCGGCCTGTCCCTGACATTTTTCACTTCCTTTTAGAGGAGTCCACTTAGCTTCATTTCTATATTTAGAATTTATGCCCAGTCTAGTACCAAAAAGTAACTTTAGGTCACCCTAAAGTAAAATCACAAGTAAAAGCACTTCGAAGTACAATCTGAGATTACAGGAGGAATCAGAGCCATAGGGAGAAATGGGAAAGAGTTTCCCCAGTCGAGACACAAGATTGGCCGTGAACTTGTGGGGCAGCACAAGGCAAAGAAAGAAGTGGGGGGGGGGGTTCTGCAGTTGACAATTAGAGGAACACATGTGCTGGTAAAATGAAGCAGCTTTTTTTTTTGTGGGGGAAGGGGTGAGGGCATTAAATTCTAGAACAACCAATTCCAATGAAGTATCAGAAAAATGTACAATGTACACTGTTTCTCAGTGGTTTGGCTTCCAGGATGGATTTTAGACCACACTTCCCTTTTTTCCATCAGACTTCTGTCTCTGTTGAGCTGGCTTCTCTGTGGCTCCCTTTGTCTCAGACTTACTTGACTCCTTCTTCTCTGTTCTTTACTTTTGTTCTAAAGTGAATTGCAATTGTGTTTGTCTTTCTCTTTCTCACTCCACACTCCTCCTCCTGACTCCTGTAGACATTCCCGGTGACACCCCTAATCAGACATTCAGCCTTTTCTTACCTTCCCATAGCCCTGTATTTATTAACACAGATACTTCCCCCTGTTTATTATACAAATAAGTTATTCTTTTTCCTTTAATCTGTAAGATTGCTGAAATTTGGGGCTGAGGGAGCCATTTAGCCTTAGGAAAGGAAAAAAAACCACCAAGTAATACTGTTTACAACTTTATCCAACCTCCTGTCCCACAGCCTGGTCTAAAGTAGGTTTTCAACTGGTTCTCTCTGAATGCCAGCATTTACAATCTCAGTCCTTATCACTCAGGTGCTAGGCAAACAAAATAGAGACTTAAGATCCAAGCTTGGTGGACCAGGAAAAGGGGAGGGGTGACCAGGTCACTGGTACCCCAACCCTACAGCCTCAGTCTTTCCTGGAGGCTGATTTATCAATCTGCCCTTTGTCTTCCTTTGCCCATAAAGTTACTCCAGGGTAGGCGCCTGTCAGGACAGAACAGCAGCAGTGTTATACCCAGAGCTTACTTCACGTCAACCAAAGAGGCCTCCCAGGCTCCAACAGCGAGTGGTTCTGTATGGAGATATGGGACTGGGTACCTGGTACCAGTAGGGGAAGATTGTGGGGTGAGGGAGGTGGGCATTGGCGAGGCTGCAGAGGAGAGAGGTGCTTGGCATCGCCAAACCATGGTCTTAGCCTCCCTGGAGAAGCTGTTTTATGTGTCTGCTGCCAGCTGCTGGTCTCCGCACCCTCAACCGTTCTCAACCCTCCTGCAGGGAGAAGGTCTCCTGGGCACTGTCCTTCCACCTGTGCCAGCCACCCCCTGCCCCACTGCTGAATGAAGGCCATTTCAAGCGCTGCTTCTCCCTCCATTCCTTCAGCTGTTATTGCTGCAGGGCTACCCTTTTCAGTGCTGTGCTTGTCTAGCCCACCGCCACAGCCCCTCTTGGTCCTCAGCAGGTGGGAGGGGCCAGGTGCCCCTTTAGGACAGTTGCTTCCTTCATTTAGCCAGACCACTCCTCTCCTCCCAGTGGAATGGAGCCCTTGCCAGCCCTGCTCCATCGTCTATGTCAGCTGGTCCCAGCCCATCTCTAGGGAGAAAAAAACTCACAAGAGCCGCTTCTGCCCTCGCAACCCATACCAGCTGTTTGTAACCATCTCCAAGGGAAACGGCATGGCTCCTTCTCCATTCATCTGCATGAGCTCCTCTTGGCTTCCCTAAGGGGCCAAGAAAGCAATTTTTCTGCTTGTCAGATTCATTGAGACCAGCTGTGTGAGCCCCTGTGGGACAAGGGTGTCTCCTTCATTGCTTAAAGGTATTTAGAAGGGTGGGTCACTGCAGGTGACCAGGGGAACAAGGGCTAGCATCACTTTTAAAAAAAAATCACCACTAGTGGCCCAGAGTGTGGGTACACACCTTCCCCACCCCATAATGCAGCCACTTAGGAAGAGTGGTCTTCCTGAAGAGAATTTGCTGGAGTTGACTTCCTTATCTCCAAACTAAAAAACAAAAACAGCTAAATATACACAAAATCTCAGAAACCTACAAGCTAAACACTCTAGGAAAAAAAAAAAGCACCCTTCTGTACACTTAGCAATAAGAGGGATCTTTTCCCACTTACCCCTACTCCCACCCCTGCCCCATCCCACCTCATTAATGTGAGTAATGAATTAGCCTGGCCATAGGTGGTCACTGTAGGCTCTGGAAAATACCCAATGGAGGGAAAAGACCCCAATCAGATGCATGAATGTTTGCGAATGTCGGCTGCCACTGCCCCACTCAGTGTCTTTATAGAATCCTCCCTGACCCTACTTCCCCCTCCAACTCCCAATTTCCACCATGACACAAATTGCTCAAAGGCTGGTGACTTGTGGGCCATTCATCTCTAACTAAGTCCTGATGGAACAAGAGGCCCAAGCCTAGGGGATGCAAGAACGACCCATTTCTTAAATGATACCAGTCCCAGTCAACCTTTTGGTGACATTCTGGTTAAATTTCCCAATTGAAAACGAGCCAACAGACACTCAAACTGGTTGTGTAAATGTTGCTAGACTTTATGTGTTGTACAACTAAACATTGATGTTTGAACAATAATCGCTTGGCCTGTACCTTATTTATGCTCCTTGATCAAATCATCTATTAGATCAACTCGTGTGGAGAGTGAGCGGGGATAATCTTGGTAAGAAGTAATCACAATTTAAAAAAAAATTTATTCTTAAGTTTTATGTGGATACAATATCTTTATTTTACATTTATGTGGTGCTGAGGATCGAACCCAGTGCCTTGTGCATGCTAGGCGGGCACTCTACCACTGAGCCACAACCCCAGCCCCAGTAGTCACAAATATTAGAGATGGAAATATCTTGTGAAGTCAGTTTATCTGTAGGTGGCATGAGGTCAGACCTCAAGTCATTATTTCCTGGGATTTTGTATCCCAAATGATAAAGCTCTCACACTTGATCTTGAGGGATGCTATGCTTTGCCTTCCTCAGTGTAAACATTTATTTTCATTCAGTTTACTTCCTAGTTTCCCCCCTTCTATTCCCTAAAGACATAGGCACCAAGTCTATGAAGGGAGTGGACTCACGTTGTCTAAAAGCCTCCCTATTATCCAGGGAATGTTTTGAGTTAAGAATTTAAACTTAAGCAATAGTTTATGTCTTTCTTGTACTTAAATCAAATCCTTCCAGTCTTTGAGGTACCCACTCTTATAGCAAGCAAACACAACTCTCACCTGTGTCTTATTTCTTTGAGTTTAAAAGTAACAGTTGTATGCAATTATGTCTGGGACCTCAATTAAAAAGTTTCCAGGTATAGATAAATGGTGGGAAGTGGTTTGGGGTGGGGTCAGAGTCTGAGGAAGACAAGTCAGACTCTTGGAATCATTCAAGTAAAATGATGAGGGTGGGAAGCAGAGTGGCAACACAACACTGAGATTTGAGTGACAGAGAAGTTTAGTGGAAATCAAATACCACAGCTAAAGGAAATCTAAAAGCTCAGTGCCATCATACAGATATGGAAACAAGTACAGAGAACATAATCCTGGACTAAAGCCCAAGGTTGCAGTTAGTTACCATGGTAGGGTAAAGACTATCTCAATGCTTATTCTACCGTTCCTCACCATCCTTATTGTATTTTATTTGTTCTACTAAGTCATACTTTAAAAAATATTTTTTTTTCCTGAAATCAGGATATGCCCTACAACCGATGGTGTGTCAGTTTATCTGGCAACTTTTTTCCTCCCTGGCATGTTAATAATTGATGTGTTTTATACTTGATAGCATTTTAAATTTAATAAAATACAGTGGTCAAGAAGATGTTTATTTGGGGCTGGGGCCGTACGTAGTTCAGTGGTAGAGCACTTGCCTAGCATGCGGGAAGCACTGAATTTGATCCTCAGCACCACATAAATATAAATGAATAAAATAAGGATATAAAAATATAATAACATCATTTAAAAAAAATTTATTTGAAGAGCTCTGGTGCTGTTTGTGAAGTTTAAAGGAAATAAGAATATGTGCAACATTCTACTCCTCACAGCAATTATGGTACAGTGTTACCCTCGGATCCTCACAAACACCTTTGAAGGAGGCATGGCCATATGAAGGATGACCCATAAAGGCTCTCTTGACTCAAGGCTCAAAATTCCCCTTCCACGTCCTGACTCATATCACCTGCTCTTTCCTGGATGCCATCTCACAAGACATTCAGCTCTGATTCCAAGACTTTTCAGATGGAAGACAGTTCTGCGGTTCTCAGGAAAGGAGAGGAATAGTTCCAGACCCTTTTCTGGGAAAGGCTACAGCCAGGGAAGGCTGGGGGTCATCCTGGCTGATGTTCTGGGGATGGCTGCTTTTAATTTCCATTCCTGGAAGGACCAACCCAAGTCTATCTTAAGCGTGGTCAGGGGAACAGCCATTCTGCAACCTCTTAGGAGAGATCACTCACCTATCACTCTTGCCCTCCGCGCTCTGGGGGCGGAGCAAATCCCCTGGCCCCTCCCCTTCTCCCGGGCCAAGGCAACGCTGACCACGCCCAGCACATGACCACGCCCCACCACGTGACCTGACATCTCGCCCTGCCCTTTTCGGTCTTTGCGCCATAATCTCCGCCCTCCCCCTCAGGCTCCGCCCCACAGCTTGTCCCAGGCCCCGCCCCTTTCCATCTGAGGGGCGGCGGGAGGGGGCCTGGAGCAAGATGGTGGTGAACCAGAGCCACACCGAGAACCGCCGTGGGGCCATCATTCCTGTTGGTGAAAGGTGCCGGAGGGGACACGGGGGCTGCCGTCAGAGAAGGGAGGGGACGAATGAGGTTTAGACCTGCTGGATCGCCAGCTTTCAGCGAATCACGGGCCTTCCCGCCGTTTTTGGGATTGTCACTCACGGCTCTGCCCGGGGTGTGAGGAGCGCACCCTCTGGTGTTCCCTGAGGGAGGGTCGCGGCGGGAACTCGTGGTCTCCCGCGTGTGAAGGGAGCGCCTGTGTCTGTCCTCGCAGGCGCTTGGTGTCCCCGGGCTCGCCCATAGGGCGCTGTGGGGATGCACCCGCGGCCTCTGAGCAGGGAGGAGCCGGCCCTGCCAGACTCGCAAGACCGAGGCGCCCACTCCCCATTCCACCCACCGGCTTTGCTGGGTCGTGTCTGTCTCCCAGCCCAGCAGTTCTGAATTATGGGCTCCTTTCTCTGCGCTGATTTGCCTTCATTTCCCATTTGTCCGCTCCAGGGATGACCTTTTTGTTTTCTGGGGTACTAGGGACCGAATCCCGGGCTTCACGCATGCTAGGCAAGAGCACCACCACTGAGGTCCTGAGCTCATCCCAGCCCCAGAACCTTTGCATCTGCTTGTTGGCCATTTGTGTTTCCCACAAAGCCTCATCTGTAGAAGAGACTGTCAGAGGCTGTCTTTGGGGGCTGGAGGTGTAGCTCAGTGGTAGAGAACTTGCCTAGCACGTGTAAGGCACTAGGTTTATTCCTCAGCACTGCATATAAATAAATAAAATAAAGGTCCATCAACAACTAAAAAGTATATTTAAAAAAAAAAAAAAGGAGAGACTGTCTTTTTCCTATAGAGTGGTCTTGGCACCTTTGTGGATAATCTCTTGACAGTATATGTGAAGGTTTGTTTGTGGACTCCATTCTGTTCCATTGATCTGTTTATCTTTGTATCAGTGCCACACTGTTTTTATTACTGTAATACTGTAACAAGTTTTGGAATCAGGGAGTGTAGATCTTCCACCTCTTTTCTTTTTCAATATCATTTAGTTATTTGGGGTCCCTTGGGATTCCATATGAATTTTAGGATGAATTTTTCTGTTTGTGCAAAAAGTGCTTTGATTTTGATGGGAATTACATTAAATCTGTAGATCCCTTTAGGTAGTATAGATATTTGTTGAAATCAGAAATTGTGTTGCCTCCAGCATTGCTTTTTGCTCAGGATTACCGTGGCTATTTGGGGGGTCTTTTGTGTTTCCATGTGAATTTTGGATTTTTTCCCCCTAGCTCTGTGAGGAATGTCAGTAGAGTTTTTTCACATCCTTAGGTTTATTCCTAGGTGGTGGGGGTTCCTCCTTGTTTTAGTCAGTTTTTTTTTCCTCTGCTGTGACCAAAAGACCTGGCAAGAATAAAATGAGGAGGAAAAGTTTATTTGCAGCTCATGGTTTCAGAGGTCTCAGTCCACAGATGGGTGATGCTGTTGCTCTGAGCCCAAGGTGAGGCAGAACATCAAGACTGAATAGTGGTGGAAGGAAGCAAATCAGGACATAGTACCAGAGGCAGCAGAGACAGAGAGAGCTTTGCTCATAGGGACAAAATATAAAACCCAGAGACACACCCCAGTGACCTACGTCCTCCAACCACACCCTTCCAACTTATAGTTACTCAGTTAATCCATGTTAATGGATTCATCCACCAGGTAGGTTACAACTTTCATAATCATTTCACCTCTGAATGCCATTCTTGCATTGTCTCACACATGAGATTTGGGGGACACCACATATCCAAACCATAACCTTCTGTCCCTGTCCCCTAATAGCTCATGCCCATCTCACAATGCAAAATACATTTAATCCATTTCCAAGAGTCGTCATAATCTTAACAGTTCCAGCATTATCCAGAGTCCAAGTCCAAAATCTCATCTGAGACTCAAGGCAAACTCTTGACTGTGAGCCAAGATCAAAAGCAGGTTACATATATCTAATATATAATGGCACAGAGTAAGCATTTCCATTTTATAATGGAGAAATAGGGTCAAAGAAAGCAGGGATGGGACCAAAGCAAGAACAAAATCTAGCTAGGCAAACAAGTCCTGTAGCTCCATGTTCAACGTCTTGAGCACACGGCATTGTAATGTTCTCAAAGGGCTTGTGTAGCCCTGCCCCTCGGCCTTTGCCAGTTGCAGTCCAGGTGGCCTCTCTGTTGGCTTGTTTCTGCTTGATTCCTGCAGTTTTCCTCAGCAGGTGTTCCACGGTGCTGGAACTTTAGCTTCCTTCTCCCATCTTCATCCGTCATCTGCTCAGGGGTAGCCTGAAGAGACTCTAACCCTGCTCCACTTTGCCTGCCCTCCCAGGCTTTCGTTTGAAAGCTTGGTGGAAGCCTCCATGACTCCCGTACTCCAGCATCCTGCATTTCTGCAGAACCACCACCATGTGGTTGATGCCAAGGTCTGCCACCATCTCAAGTGTAGCCAAGCTTTCTAAGACTATAGCTGCAGTAGCCTTGAGTGCTTGGATGGCTGAGCAGTGAAAAGCAGGGTGCCTCCATGGTCCCTTCTCACAGGAATCTTTACTTTTACATCCTTGAGACTAAGATGGGTGTGTTCTTGTCAATTCCTGAGATGCCCTCAGTCAGCTTTTCTGTTGTCTCTGGGTAAAGTATTTAACATCTTTTTAGTGGCTGTAATGTCTTTAATAACCACAACTTCCTTATCCCAGTTTTACTTGTGTTTTCTGGCCAAACTCCAAGTTTTTCAAAGTTCTGCTTTCTTCTTCTGATTGTCACAGTAAACCTGGCTAAAAGCTGCCAGCAATATCCATGCCAATATTTCAATGCTGTGCTGCCTTGAAATTTCCTCTGACAGATTAATTAGTCCATCATCTTTAAATTTAGACTCACAGAGAGTCTCAGGACATGAGTAAAATGTAGACAACTTCTTTGACAGAACATATATGAATGGCTTCTAGTCCAATTTCTAGGAGAGTCATCCTCTTCTAAAGCCTCATGAGCCTCGTCTTTACTGTCCACAGTATTATGGCCATTCTGGTCTTCTAAGCTCTCACCAGAATCACCCATTAATAAAGCAAGCTTTTCCAGCTTGCATCTCTAAACTTGTCAAAACGCCTCCCTCAAATTCCAAAAGGTCCCAAAGCTTCTGAACTACGTGGTGAGGTTAGACAGCAAGATCCTATGCTTGGTATCAATGTCTGTTTTAGTCAGTCTTTTCTGGCTGTGACCAAAAGACCTGATGAGAAAAACAGAGGAGGGCAAAATTATTTGGGGTTCATGGTTTTGGAGGTCTTGGTCTATTAGTAGCTGACTTCATTGCTTTGACCCAGAGGTGAGGCAGAACATTATGGTGGAAGGGTATGGAGGAGGAAGGCAGCTCACAACATGGCAATGAGGAAGGAGGGGGGTGCTTTGCTCACAGGGAAAAAATGTAAAACTCCCAAAGGCATGTTCCCAGTCTGCTACCTCCTCCAGCCACACCCTACCTGCCTGTGGTTACCACCTAGTTGATTCATATCAGTTAATTAATCCACTGATTAGGTTCCAACTCTTATAATCTAATCATCATACATCTGAACGTTCTTTCATTGTCTCAAGTGAGATTTTTGGGGAATACTACCTATCCAAACCACAACACTCCTCCTCTTCTTCCATCTCCTGTTTCTGTGAGTGGGATATCTTTCCTGATTTCTTTCTTAGTTCATTACTAGTGTATTAAAAAAACTACTGATTTTTTTATGTTGATTTTATATTCTGTACTTTATTGAATTAGTCTATTATTTCTAAAAGTTTTTAGGATTTCTTTTACTTTCTCCATAATTATATGTCTTTTATTTCTTTTTCTTTCCTGACTGCTCTGGCTAGAATTTCTAGTTTATTGAATGAAAGTGGAGAGAGTGGACACCTTTGTCTTGTTGCTAATCTTAGAAGAAATGCTTCATTTTTCCCCATTCAGTATGATGTTGGCTAGGGGCTTGTACTATATAGCCTTTATTATATAGAGATATGACCTTTCTATATATAATTTAATCAGAGAATTTTTTTCATGAAGGAATGTTGAATTTTATCAAAGACTTCTTCTGCATCTGAAATGATCGTGTGCCTTTTATCCTTCATTCTGTCTTTGTACTGTTTACATTTATTGATCTGCATGTGTTGAACCATTCTTGCATCCCTGGAATGAAATCAATTTGATCATGGTCTATGCTCTTTTTATTGTGCTTTTGAAATTCAATTTGCAAGAGTTTTGTGTCTGTGTTCATCAGGGATGTTGGTCTGTCATTTTCTTTTGTTGTTGTGTCCTTGTCGCTTTTGGTAGCAGGATAGTACTTGCTTTATGAATGAGTTTGAAAGGATTCCTTCACTTTCTATTTTATGGAATAGTTTTAGAAACATTGGTTTCAATCTTTAAGTCTGATAAAATTCAGCTATGAATCGATCTGGTCCTAGGTTTTTTTGTTGGGAAACTTCTTATTACTCTTTCAGTATACTTGCTTGCTCTTGATCTATTTAGGATTTTTATATCCTCTTTATTCAATTTTGTTATGTAATATGAGTCCAGAAATTTGTCATTTCTTTAGATCTTCCAATTTATTTGCATATGGCCTTAAAAAATATTCCCCATGGTCATTTGTATTTCAGTGTATCTGTTATAAAGTCTTTTTATTTTCGCCTCTAATTTTATTTATTTGGGTCTCTCTCTCTCTCTCTCTCTCTCTCTCTCTCGGTTAGTTTAGTTAAAGATTTGTTAATTTGTTTGTCTTTTCAAAGAACTAACTCTTAGTTTCATTGATCCTTTGTACTGTTCTTTTAGACTATATATCATTTATTATTACTCTGATGTTTATTGCTTCTTTCCTTGTACTGATTTTTTTCTTTTCTTTCTTCTTTTACTGTTTTTTTCTGTTATTGTTGTTTTAATATTAGAGATCAAACCCAGGGCCTAACACATGCTAGGCAAGTGTTCTACCTCTGAGCTACATCCCTGACCCTTAAAAAATTTTTTTTGGAGACAGGGTCTTACTAATTTGCACATGAACTTG